ACTAACCTTGGCTAGCCTGATAACCGGGGAGGTGTTGCAAGTGTATTTTTCCACGTCAAGAGGCGTAATCTCATCAGCACTAGTAGTCGACAGGGAGGGGCGCCAACTATCAGTCTACTTTGTGAGCCGGGACCTGCAGGGTCAAGAGATGTATTACCCTACCATTGAAAAATTGGTACTCACCCTAGTATATGCAGTGCGAAGGCTCCGCCAATACTTCCAAGCCCACCAAAATACAGGTCCTGACCAATTGCCCAATCAAACAAGTACTCCTAAAGCCAGAGACGTCGGGGCGACTCGCGAAATGGTCCATAGAGCTAGGAGAACACGATATCACATTCCACCCCAGGGTAAGCATTAAAGGACAAGACCTAGCAGATTTCTTACTCAAAATCCCGGGAGACTTCAGCGAGAAATGGCCGACTCGGGCAGGCAGGAATAATCAGGAGGAACACCCGACCAACAATGGACTCTCTATACGGATGGGGACTCTAGCAAAGAGGGGCTAGGCGCCAAACTAATGTTAACCAACCCCACATGAGAGGAATTCATGTATGCCTTGTGTTTCGACTTCTACACATCTAACAATGAGGCGGAATATGAAGCTCTGCTGGCCGGTCTCAGGCTAGCAGTAAAGATGGGAGCAGAAAGAGTCATGGACTTGACCGACTCGCACCTAGAAGCCAACTAAGTATCAGGAGAATTTGAAGCAAAAGAAAAACGAATGGAGAGGTATGTCAAAGAAGTATAGTGGATCACTGGTACTCTAAAAAGCTTCACGATAAAGCAAATCTCAAGAGGAAACAATAGGCGAGGAGATGATCTCAGCAAGTTGGCGTCAAAATGCTTTGGGTGCCTATCAAAGGAGGTTCTGGTGGAAGTGCTAAAAGAGAGGAGCATTGACGAGTGGCAAGTTGATTCCCTATCAATGGCCCAACCAAATTGGATGACACCCATTATAGACTTTCTCCAGCACGACATACTCCCGGATGACCACAGAGAAGCTCAGAAGATAAGGATACGAGCCCCCCAGTATGCGATGCTCAAGGGAACGTTGTATAGGAAAGGCTACACAACCCCATGGCTCAAATGCATCGATGACACAACGGGGAAACTAGCGCTGAAGGAAGCCCATGCAGGGTCGGCTGGAGCTCACGAAGGAGCGCAGACACTTACAGGCAAAGTACTGCAAATGGGCCTTCACTGGCCAGGAATACACCAAGACGCCATCGAGTTAACGCGAACTTGTGTAGAATGCCATACCTTCGCACCAACACAAGAGGCGTCACCATCCAAGATGACTAGCATACTTAGCCCTTGGCCTTTCTATCAACACAAAAGCATTAACACAAAAGCATCTTAACACAAACCACATTGTTCAGTACACCAAAAGCCTTAGAGGCCAGAAAACAACACAGGAGCCCTAAGGGCCATAATACAACTGAAACAAACATCTTAATAACACTTTTCACGCTCCATAGGAGCAGCCACAAACAACCTTACACAACACTACCAACACCGCCTTCGCCACCGCCAATATCACCACTACCAGCACCGCCTTTGCCACCGCCAATATCACCGCCACCAGCACCACCGCTGCTACCGCCAATATCACCACCATCACCACCGCCGCCACCAACAATATCACCACCACCAGCACCGCCAACGCCAATGCCAGCACCACCACCAGCAGCACTGCTACCGCCAACGCCAGCATCACCACCACCGGTACCGCCTTCAGCAACACCGCCTATCCCCACACCCAACACACCTGCAGCCTCTTCATCCTCATCAAAAGCACACAATGCCCTTACTTCATCCATACCCAACTAACCGAGCCCAAGCAAACCTGAAATTCAAGAGTTGCGAAAGATAATAAAGCATCCTCCAAAGCTGAAGAATGACTAGATCGGGAATCGCTAGCTGAAGGATCATACGTCCCAACTTCAACTTGAGCCTTAAAATTCGACCAACCAGACTCCTTCCCAGCAACAAAGGCAGCATAGCGGATTTAAATGATGTCACCCGTAAATTCGAGGTGCTCAAGAAGACTGTCCATTATGCGCACAAAACCAACTTGAAGGAGCCAACTACGATCTCCCCTCAACACCTCCAATTCTTGTTCACGATCAGCGAGATCCCGCTCCAAACTCTCATTTTGAATCATCAATCCTTCATTGGCCTGAGTTAGAGACTCCACCTATGTCACACCCCCGAACCAGACGGCGGAACGTCCGGGGGCTGTCGTGACTCAATTGAATACCATAACATTGCATATATATGAAACGTAACAACATTCGTCACCATGCATTAATATAGTACAACCAGTAAAGTTTACATGAAGTATATTGTTTAAACATTACATTCCCAAAAATAAATTGATCGTTTCGTACATAAATAAACTGCAAGCCATCACTGAATATGATTTCCTTTGATTCACTGGTTCCCTGAGAATACAAGTATTTTGAAAAAACATCAACATATGAAATGTTGGTGAGTTCATAAGTAGTGTTTGAAATCCAATGTTTTGTATTGTTTGAAAACCACCAGAAAATCCGATATTTTCTAAAAATAGAATAGCGTAAAAATATGTGAAGATCCGTGAGTAGGCTTGTTTGAATTCTATAGATGTAAGCGTAAGAGTTGTGAAATTCGACATGTAGTTCATAAGTGTACTTGTTGAAAACCCTAGGAAAACCCGATGTTTTCCTATCACTTTGCTTTAGTTATTTTGTGTACTGTTATTTCGTTACGTTAGAGGTATTCGTTGAGCTCCGGAGGCATTGAGTATACAGAGGGTGGTGAATTGTTGTAACGTAAGTTAATGAAAACGTCCAATTGACAACCGTACTAGTGATCCCTTAGGCGTCACTCGCACATATTCACACAACTCAATCCTCCCGGACTTGTGTAGTCCCACGACCGAAGAGAAAAAGTGAAGGTGCGAAACCCTCGGTATTTCCCTGCGTCGTTCAAGACCATTGCAATTGCGAAGGGCCCGAAGCCCAACCTGCAATCGTGAGTTCCCGACTTTACTAGCAGCACTGAAGGACCCTTGGGGACCAGCAGCATGTTTGCCAATGAAAGTCCTTTACACGCGGTCGAGTCGCATTAGACCCAACTACATGTAAGCAAGTGTCCTTTGGGCCTAAAGATCATGTCATCGGGCTAGCTAGGCTCGACAAGCATGATTTGCAACTTTTGGGCCTAAGGAGTGTACATCGACGTATTGAGTAATTCCATGAGAGTAAAGAGTTCCAAGAGTTTCATATGTGTATATGAGTAAAGGAAGGATTTCCTTGCCTAGATACATGAATCTACCTTGTTGTATGGTGGTTATTATGCATGGATGACCACCATGCAATATTGAGGTGGCAAGGTTAGGATAATTCATCTCTTTTTTTTTTTTTTTTTTTTTGTAATGATCTTGGGCCGAGATTGGGCTAAGGTAAATGAGGATGAGGTGTTTTTACCCATTGTTGGTCTTGGCCGAATTTATGAGGCCCAAAAATAAATTCTCGGCCCATTGGGCTCTTAAGGAGACTCACGGCCCAAAATGGTAAAAGAAATGGGTTTAGGGTCCATTAGGGGTAATTAAATCCCTTTATGGCCCATCAGGGCCTAAAGTGGTCAAATTGAAGGCTTATTGGTCCATTATGCCCAATAGGAGAATTTTAGTTCATAAGGAACTTGAACCGGAATTCCTACGGTTTCCAACCCCTAGTTGAACCTATAAGAGGTATTTGAACGAGGACAGGGTATAGCATTCACTTGACTACAAGCCTTACTATAGTTGATGGTTTCATGAGAATAGAAACTCCTAGCAAAAGTGCCAGTTGTGACAACCTGCCCTTCGAAAACACTATGCACATCCTCCAATATCATTTTCCCTGACACCAAATATCTGTTGTCGCATTCCAACTGACTAACAGTAGCACTCAAATCTGACACTTTACCTTTCAAATCAGCCTCACTATCAATAAGGGATGAATGAAGATGCTCTAATTCAGCAAACCACTGCACACGACGAGATCTAGTGGCCAAATACGTCATGGCTTATACAGCGGCATATGCAAGATTATGAGCAAGAACAGTGTTGCTCATAACGTCCATGTCATTTACGGTGACCGGAGGAATAGCATGGCATGTGAAATCCAATGTCACAGTCTGCACAGAAAGATGAGATTCCGGCACCAGACTCCATCCCAACGTAAACACAGGCGCCACAACAGTAGGACTACCTCCTAAAGTCGGAGAACTAGCATTAACATATGAAGAAACAGCAACAATGGGCTGATGAAACGCCCCCTTAATACCCCACGATTGTTGTGTGTCATCATCGGGTATCACCAACACATCCCCTGGACCGGATGAAGTAGCTGATAACAAGCGCATAAGGCCATGACGCTACGTCACACGCCACCCAATGTGTCGCGAGCTACCCTCAGGTGCTGGATCTCTCATTGCTTGCGCAAATTTTCTCTTCTCAGTAGCCCGACGAGCACCAGCCAAAACCCCAACCTTGCAGTCCAAAGGACTATCAATAGTCGACCCAACAAAAGCAGCAAATGCGGTCACAGGAGTCACGATAGTACGAGAGCTCGGTCGACTCCCCAACGCGGTAGAACTCCTTGCAGGTTATGGAGGTACCGGAGCAGCAGCAACCAAAAGACCGAGGGAGGGGGGGGGGGGTAGGAAGAGTTTCGTACAATGGCACCACACGATACTCCAACTTACCTTGATAGCGACCTCGAAGCACAGAATCCATGGGGATAGAATACTCGACACCTACCAGGCAAAAGAAAGAGGGCAAACACATATAAAAGCAACAATATAACGAATAACCTCCTCTCTCTTTTTCCTTTTAAAAAGAAAAAAAGGGGGGGGGGGAGAGGAAGAAAAATAAGAAAGCGGAGGAAAATTGATGGGAAGGTAATAACAACTTACCATCAGAAACAGAGTAGAACATAGGCATTTCTCCCCGGGAACGCCAGCCGGGCTCATACCAACTCCGGCAAGGATAACCTCCGACATAGCATCAACATCCACTTGAAGAGAACGCAGGAGATCCGAAGTTGTTGGTTATGAGGAAACAACTTAGGGATGGTCTCAAAGGGCATGACCGCTCGAGGATGGTCACGGCCGAGCAACTCGTGGTTAACCCACACCCACTTTTCCTGATAGTTTTTTGGAGGCTTGTTATCGAGAACAAGGTTATGCCCACCACGGCGAGCAGAGAAGGTATACTTGTCATTAGTGGCGGGAAATCGGAAAAAATACTTAAAAACAAAGTAATCAGGGATGATGCCGTTAGCACGACATATCATCTCAAAAGCGACCACTTTGTGAATGGCATCGAGAGTTAACATCTGCACGCTACACCCACAGCATCGTAGTATCTCTTCCTGAAAGTTGGTCAATGGGAGACGGAGACCAGCATCGAAGGTTTTCGGATAAACACCTACCTTCCCGGCAGGAGGACGGGTGATCAACGAACCTGGAACAGGAAATTCCACTCCATCAGCAGGGGTGAGGCCATAAGCCTCCAGAAGAGTGTCGAATTCGGCACCAGTAGGGATCAAGCATGGAGTAGAAGCCATACCAAAACAAAAAGAAAGAAGAAAAAGGAGAACGAAAAGGCAAGAAAGAAGCTAAAAGGAGAAATCGTTCAGGATAATAAAAAGGGGAAAAAAAGGCGGGATCTGCGAAAATCCCTGACATCGCTGACGCACACACGTCAAAACATCACGTCACCGAAAATGAAGCGTTAACCAAGTAAGAGCATGACGCGTGTTAGTTGATAAGTCTAGAACATCATAGCTAGCTAGCATACGCTATGACTACTGGACTGGGGGACTTAATGACGCACCCCTCATAGTGGGCCAGAAACAAGCTAGTTGCGGCAGAGCGCCTCTAGTGAAGGAGTCGACCCAGCGACCTGGGTAGCTCCAAGCCCCGCGTAGCGATCACGTAGAAAGCTTTCCCTCGCCAAGAATTATCTTTTAGCTACAGTCCAAAGACAACGGCTTCAGGCGATAAAGCACCCAAACAAAGCACAATAGCTTGAACCAATCAGAGGTCGGGACACGAACGTGGAACAGAGCCTCCAATAAGGATGACGGATCCTGTCAGGATCACAGTCCTTATCCCCGTACGGACTGAGGATGATCCTCACTATAAAAGGAATAGCACGCAGTTCAGCCAAGGTAAATGAAACCAACTCCAGTTACATATTACCATATTCTCCCATACTCTCTAGACTAACTTGACCGTCGAAGTGTCTTTCCGGGAGCTCCTCCCAGACGACGACTGACATCATTTTCTCTTGTGTGACTTCTCAGGTTCCGTTGTGAAAGAGCTCTTCCACATAGCTGGTGGTTTGCGACCTGGTCGCATCAACTAGGATATCGGTCTAACATATCACAACAGCATAGCAATATCCTATCTACCAGGATACCGATCTAATAGATCATAACATCACAAAACATGCATAACAGGATATCAATCCAAGGGTCGACATTGGTGCCTTGGACCTGCAAGTACAGTGAGAAAACTCACCTTACAGCTGAACAGAAACAATAAGGCCTGACTCGGAATCTTAGCTCTTAACCCAAACGCCCACAACCACCAAGTGACCAATCCATCAAAATCCCAACAATACCCTTAAAAGTCAAACTTTGACAAACTCAAAGTCAACTGGTCAAAGTTCACAAACCCATTGAGTCAACCCAATCGAGTCGACCTAACTGAGTTAACTAAAAAATGGTTGATCCATGCGAGTACGCGGGGCGTACTCCGAAGGTACGCTCAACGTACACAAGCCTCACATTGACTAATTACGGGGGAGTTGAGCAAGTACGCGGGGCGTAACCTTGCAACTCCATTTTCTTTATTAAGTTCTTAATGGCTTTAGAACTTAAGTCCCACTTCAGATCCAAGGTCTAGAGGCGTACTAGAGTCATAAAGTCTCCAACTTTATGACTTTACACGTCCAAAAAGTCCTTAATACATGGTCTTAAACCATTAAGACCTTCTGCAAGAAGCATGGAGCCAAACTAGCTAAAGGGACCTCATTTTTATGGCTTAGAACCCTTCCTAGGGTCTAAAAGGACAACTCAAAACATCCAACACAAAACATGCATAGAAGTGGGACTTTTGGGACAAGAACACATAAAGCTGCCAAAAATGAGATCCAAGCATACCAAACATCAAGGTGAAGACTTTTTACCTTCTGGAGCTTCGCAAGAAGGTGATGATCCAAGATCCACAAGCTTGCTTTAACTACTAAGCTTCTTGATGCAAGTCCTTCTTCCTTAAGCACACAAAGGACACACTTTTAGCTTACAACACTCTCTTATGGTCTTAGGGTTTGCCAAAAATGACTCAAGGGCTTGGAGGCTGAAAATATGAGGGTAAATGATCCATAAAGGTTCTTAAATACCCTACAAACCCTAAAAAATTAGGGTTTCACTCGGAATATTTTAAAATACGCCCATTGTACATTTTTAAAATACATAAAAATACATAAACATCTATATAAAAAACTAAAAAAATACATAAATATATAAAAATACATATAAATATGTGATACATAAAAAACACAAAAAATAAGTAAAATACTTAAAAATACATATAAACACGTAAAACAATACGTTTATACATTTAACATACATAAAATACATAAACATCTATATGATTAAAAAAAATACATCAATATATAAAAATACGTATAAATATGTAATACACAGAAAAACACATAAAAAATATGTCAAATACTTAAACATACATATGAATACGTAAACAAATATATTTATACATTTAAAGTATATAATCATCTATATAAATTTTTAAAAAAATACATAAATACGTAAAAATACATATAAATATGTAATACATAAAAAATAAGACATAAAAATACATAAAAGTATGTAAAATGGTTAAAAATATATATAAATACGTAAAAAAAATACATTTATACATTTAAAATACATAAAAACATGGAAACATATACATATAAAACTTAAAAAAAATACATAAATATGTAAAAATAGATATGAATACGTAAAAAAATGCGTTGATACATTATATATAAATTTTGATAAAATTTACAGAAAAATCTCATTATTTTGGAAAAATTAATATTTAGTCCCATGATATCCTGAACCGATCAAAAGGGCTGAATTGAATAAATTATTCGGGTTTTTTGGGGTTTCTATTAAAAAAGATAAAAAATTAAGATTTTTCTATTCAAAAAATAAAATTTAGAACTTTATTAAAAAATTTCTCAAAATATTGGATATTTTCTCGAGATTTTCCTTATTATCTATATTAATTATATAAGTAATAATCAGTGGATCATCTATTCTTTGGTTGTGATTATGCTAAGACGATATGAGATTAGTTGAGTGTGGTCCTCGTTACTACCAATGATCCCTAAAAATGTGTTGGATTTATATGGTTCTTAAAGATCTTGTGTCAAAAAGGTGTTGTGTTTGAGATACTCTCTTATGTACTCAACACTATGGTTTATCCGGAGAGCTAGAAATGAAATTATTTTTAGGAATTCAAAACTGAATCGTTTAAAGACGTCGAATGACATTCAATCTCTAGTTTTTATACATAGGTCTAATTTCAATCTTTTAGATTGACCTCAATGGTGTAGGTCACATTTACTTAACTGTTTCTTGTAATTTTGATTTTAATGTCTTTCTAGTTTCTTAATGCATTCCACCGTTCTAAAAAAACACAATAAATGAATTGAATTGAAGAAGTCAACAAAGATTTTCACATTCTCCTTCATTATCGACTATCACAAGCCGCACACAACATTAAACACAACACAATTAGCGAATATTACGCATGGACATAAGAGCAAATATTTTGATTCTCAATTAATTGGCTATCACACACAACATTGAGTAAAATGTATGTTCTCAAATCTCAATATGAATGTAGATTTTATTGCTAGCAAGTCTTGGTTTGTATTTATTTTGATCATCTTCTTTTAAAATAAAACTATATTAAATAGTGTATATTTTATTCGTTTATCTTGCAACAGTGAGTTTAACAAGGATGAGTTTTTATGTTTTAATGCAATATAAGTATTGCATATTTTGGTATGTTATTAGAAACAAAGAATAATACTTTTGCAAATTTCAGTATAGAACTAAGATTAGCACCTTCTGTATTTATTCATAGTTTTTATTTTATTTTATTTTATTTTTTGCGAATTTATTATTTTTTTAATTTATGGATAGAACATGTTTATTATTATGTAACTTTTCAGTATAGAATAGTATCTGGCATTTCAAGCAACCAACCTTTAATTTGCATTTATATACAGGGCCGGCCCGTGGGCATGGGCAAGCTGAGCGACCGCCCTGGGCCCCCAAATGCTATAGGGTCCCAATTTTTAACTTGTTATTTTGGTTATATATTAACACCCCATTACTTTTTAGCTTATTGGACTACTTCAAACCCCAATACTCTGATCAGGAACTAATCCAAAAGATGGAGCGTGGAAGAGAACGAGACTTATCTGGCGTGCATCCTAATTCCAAGGCGTCGTAACTCTTCAACAATCAAATTTCTATAGAAAATCCAAACATTTCCATGAAAAATCCAAACGACGTCTTCTCCAAAAACAAGAGTTAACGATCATTCTTCTATTTCTTATTCAAGATTTCAAGTTAATCATTCTTTTATGATTTTCTGAATTCGTCCACAACAACCATTAGTGAATCGAACGTTATTTTAGAATTGAGAGACTGATTGTGTCTCGTTCTTTTCACGATTTCAGAAAATGGGAAACTTTATTGTTTCCCTTCTTGTTGTCGATTTCCTTTTCCTGATATAGCACCAATGGGAAGTTAATCAAGTTATTTGATTTATTTTAGGAATCTAGCCTAGAGATTTGAATCGAGAGTTCCAGTCACTGCCTCAATTGGATTTCTTTCTTAATTGCTAGAAATTTGAAGGTTCAATTTTCAAAATTGCCTATTAAAGGTGAAATTGATTTATGATAATGACTGTGAATCTCTGTATGTTTTATCGCTCTTGAAATTTCTTATTCTTTTTTGAAATTCGATTTTTATGAGGCTGTTCAAGTAAGAGACATAATCAAATGTTAATATTTTTGAGTTAGAGATAATTCTTGAACTTCATTGCTTAATTTCGATTTGTAATGTTAATATTCTTATTTTTGATTTATGAATAGTACTCTTTTTATTTCTATTTCTATGTTTTTGATATGTATAGAATTTTCTGTTGCTGTATAGTTTTTTCAACTACTTCCAGGTTATTAACAACAACAAGTATTCTGGATTTAAGCAATTCACCTAACAACTTTTTGTCGATGATAAATCTACTTCAGTTAGAGGTCAACAACTTATGTACAAAAATAGAACTTAACAAGTTAATAAAGAAACAAAGGAGATGAGACTTTAGTATATTTGTACTTCTAATAACATTGTACTTTTAGTTTTCCCCATTCTATGGTGTACGAATTTAAATGCATTGTTATGTATGTATAAAATAGTGTAATATACGAATACATAAAATTTTTGAAAGGGCCTCATTTTTTATTTTGCCCCGGGCCTCC